CAAGAGGCGTACTAAATTGTTAAAACAAGCACCGGACAGTTCAGATCCAGTTTCTTGCCGTCGTCAGAGACGGAGTCAAAGAGGTAGGAAAACACAGGCGACTACGGTATTTATACGATGGCGATGCTATGCGACCGCACATTCTCTGGTTGATATGGGAAACCCGGACTAGAGCTTATCGATCCGTGGTTATAACTAGTCTCAATAGCGATCCAAGTATTAGCTTAAACCGTTAATGGTCGCTCCATCTTCGGTGCTGGTAACTGGCGTGGTAACCACTTGTCAAGCCTTGTGGGAAATGAAGCCAACATGCCCTAATCTTCGACTGCGCAATACGAATTGGGACCACAATTTTGTTATGTCGATATAAATAAATGGTTTCAAGCCGAATAAGTTGTGCCACTCATTTATCATTAATCAACACTGACGGTTTAAAACTTCAACTTCTAGGGGTTTTGCGCATGGTCCATCGTGCGCTATCGGGGCCTCCTCATCCCCTGCACACCAAGCATTGGTGTCCTCAGGTGGAAAGGTAAATACTACGGTTTCTCCTCCATCCAAGCCGCCGAGGAATTCGAACATGCCGTTGAAAAGTAAGCAAGACTGTGTGTCCCTTTTGTAGCCCTAAGAAGATCATCTTAAGGACACTGGGAGTCTGTCTGATAAGTCACCTATCATACTCCTTGGAGGCTCTTGGGCCAGCAAGCTCGCCAGTCCGGGGACTCAGTGCAAGAAAGGGATGGATTTTAATGACGAAAATCCACACCTGGACGTCCACTTTTGAAGGTGAAAGTCGGCGAACATATGCCAGTCCGCAAGCCTTCTGGGGGCAATAACAGCCGAATTCACCACAAATTCTCTAGCTACCTCAGAAAACCGTACCTTCAATGTTGTCCTTTATCAAAAAATTGCGATCTTATTTCCAACATAGAGGGTCGATGTAGGAGTAGTCTTCCCGACCGTTAATAGTTGGTGCCGGAGTTAACAATACTGAAACGCATGAATTCGGATTTTTCAAATTTTAAGTTAGTATTCTGGATGAGCCAAAGCGCTGTGGTCCCAGAGGATGTACAACACCAGGTTCTGGTCTGTCACAAGTCTCTGGTATCCCCCCTACATTGTTAGGTACATCTTTGTCGGCCACTGATGCATATTGCTCTGGCTAGATGTCCGGCCCTCGGTCGCGGAAGATAAGTTATTCGGAAACTTGTGTAATTTCACCGTACCTCGTATAGGCAAACCGTACTGTTAGACCTAGCGACAGCATAGACAATGATCCTGCCTTACATCCCTTTGATCTAATGATCTGTTCGAAATGAATTTGTGACAGAGGAGACCAGAATATTCCGCCTTTTTCATTTAAAATCGACCTTCAATAGACCGTTCTAACTTACTTTTGTTTACAACGCTGCAAACGGAATCATCCCCTCTCACTTTCTTACGATAGTTAGGCAAATACAAGTAACTATACATTAACAGTTGGTGGATTCTGAGCGACGGTACTTCCATACGCTTTGATTGTAATAGAGAAGTAACAGAGGCATGCAGTCGTGGTCAGAATTCCGCATGTTGTTTAAAGTTTGCCTATTTTTCGTTCCCATCCCACTTCCGAGGAGGTTCTCAACTTTTACGCATCACTGACGAATTAGTGGTTGACATGGACTTGCCTTCGTACATCTACAAAACGGCAGCCTAGCTTGGAACAATATCAAGCCCTGCTTTGTAAATAAAAAATCGATACAAGATTTCCACAGTTTTGGAGTTATGTCCTGTAAGTGGTTATATTGCCGGAAGCAGGCAGATGACTCTAACAGACGCCCTGGAAACCAGGGTACGCTAATCTGTTTTTTTTCCCAGATGTGGAGAGCGGGACGTAGAGGGGAGCTCCAAGACAAAACGGCAAGTCTGTGTTCCGTCCCACACTTGAGCTAGTTGGGCGAAAGACTCTTCCCCGTGACCGTATTCAATGTCAACCGAAAGAGTCCGAACCCTGACTCCAGTTAATGAAACACCTAGCCCACTGGTCTCGATTTCGAACCTCGGGACCGCTAACCCCATTATTGGGCTTCGACTGGTCGACAATGATTGATAAACCAGAAGTGGTCATTTTAGGTTCCCCTAATTGCCGGAAAAATTCACAAAGCCTGATGCTAGGAATACTATCTGCCTTGACTTTAGGTACCGATTTGTAGATGTTGAAAACGTCTTCTAGATGAAGTCTACCTGGGCTGAGTCGCCAAACGTTTTGAGTGGACGCCGAACCGCTAGATGGTTTATTTTTAAAATGTTGGAGATAAGCTTGAATTCTTCTAGAACATTGGAAACGCACAGCATATTTTGCTTGACTGGTATGGCCAACTGCGCCACACTTCATTCTAAAGGCTGGATACTACTGATTATCATGGTGCATGCAGTATACAGTGCTACTCCTTAAATTCGTGGCGTTTGCAAGAGGCACTGTTCGCTCGACCCGGGAAGAGTGTTCAAAGTAATGATGCGGTATCGTCGTGACGTCCTTCCAAACAGAAGAAATGACGGTAGCGTTTGAAGGAGCATCTATCAGAAAACAACCTCGTCTGGACAATATACGAACTTCCGCAGTTTCATACTCCCTCAAGAGGAATGCGCCCTAGTGCATTTTGCAGACAGCATCGTGATGAAGCTTAGAATGATCCAGAACATGTCTAGCAAAAACGGGTATACCGACAAGCGCATTGCGAAGAATGTTTTAGAGAGATCCCCAAAACCCAGCACATTGAAGGCGGAAAATAAAACTTTATTTACCAAAATCCCTTTTAAAAGGGACGCAACGAACGAACCCCTGAGAAGACGTCTTGATCAGGCTGTTCCAGGAACCTTCCCATCGGCAAGAGTTCCGGTTTTATTCTTGACCAACCCTTTTTTCACGTAGAAGGCAAGAATAGGTTGCCAGCTCAAGCCACCGCCATGTACATCTACTCCCTTACTTGATTACTCGCCCCCCTAATCCTCACTGCCTCTAATTCGCTATCTCTTATTCCTCCCTCCGTTCCTGCACCTTTGTTATATGAAATGATGGACTGTAATCGATTTCTCTTATCACTCGCATGCTTTACTTGTACCCCGTTCCCATGAGAACTTTTCGAAAGCACACGTAGGCTTGCCAACTGGTTTTCGGAATCTTTTCGTGGAAATTTTTGCAACTTTTGTCAAAGTATTCAAAAGATCGTCAAAACAGCATTCTGAAAGGTTTTAAGAGCAAGGTCATGGTCTTTAAGATAATTATGCTTATGCTTGGCTTGAACGTATCTTGTATGAAAATATCTGTCCACCAAAGAAGCCCATTTAGCGCAGTTCATGACTTGCGGGAATTTAGTATACAAATATACGTATTCCAAGATAGAACCGAAAAAGAATACTGCCCTTTAGCTAATATATTTAGCCCACGGTTAAAAATGCTCTTTCAATTTTCCAAGATTTGTATTCGAGATTTCGGAAGTCGCTCGACGGCATCCTGAACTTATCTATGTGCTGCAGCTACAGAACATGTTTTCCTCTGGAGCAGCCTACTTCAAGGTATTTGTGCCTAGAACTCTTAACTCTGCTTATGAATTATAGGAGTTCGTTTTCTGTTGTTTTCTTTAAATTAACCTCGGAGTGTTATATTAGCTAGAAGATTGTAGGAGAACATTTATATTTCTCAGCAGTTAATTGAGCACCATTCGGCCTCAGAGGTGGGTCACTTAGAAAGCATTCAACAAATCAGTACTAACACCGGGTAATAAATGCTGGTTGTTGAGGAGTGCTACCGGTGTCAGTACTTGTTTTGTCTCTCGTAACTCTTAAAGAAAGATTTTAGATTTTCGCAGTTGCACACGGGAATGTGGATGCTCCAGGACTACCGGTGGCATCGAGCTAAATTCTGGTGGCCTCTTATTCCCTAACCCCAACACTAAATCCCATTCACCTAACCCTAACCACGACTCTAATCCTGACATTAATACCGACCCTGACTCTAACCTCCCTCCCTGGATTTTACGGGGGATACGTATTCACATGTCCAGCTGTTTTCCTCCTTGAGGTTTAGGAGGAACTGCGAGAGTAGGTTTGTCTAGTTTCCTTGGAAAAACACAAATTTAGAGTACATCGTATTAACAAAATTATGAGCTAGAGTACATTTACAAGTACTGATTACCCGTGGCGTAATGCCAAATTATGGATAATTGGCAGTTTGCTGAACCTTAAAAGATCTACACTAGTTGGTTTCATTTGGCACTATTAACTCGTTGCTATCCTGCTTTTACTTCTGCGTTTATTTAACTGCGCCACCGAATAACTAGGTATTTGATGACTTCACTGGTTAAGGAAGTCCACCCTCATCTAGACGAGTCCTGACGTTTTCACTTTACTCAGCAGGATGAACTGTGAATTTTGCCCTCCTCTTCACGCCCCTAACAGAAATGAACTCTGGTTCTGACATGTATAAACACCCTTAACCTCCCCCTCCATAACGACTATTCATTGACTGTTTTCACATTTGTTGCTGTACTGTAACTACCATACAGGTCTGACGAGGAAGAATCGTAAGCGTACGCTTGCCGATTTTGACACCTTTGAAGGGGAAAAGTCGGTAATTTTTTAGGCGAGGGGGAAGTTTCCAAGTCATCACTGGCAGCGAGGGTCAATATGAGTGAGTAATTAAGCTGAAAATGTACAAAATGAACACAGGAGCGAAAGCATGATAACACTGAGTGAATGGTGTCATACGAAAACAACAAATATCGATTTGCCAACTAATCATCAGTTAGACGCTTCGTTACGGGCACTAAGGGGTCTTAAATACAGCCCTACCTATGATTTTTCGAAATGGGCGTGCTCCGAACGGTTGTTTTCTTCCGAGAAAATCCGACAGACTCAAGAAAATCTCCTCTATTTTCCTTTATTTTGCCTCTTTTTGTTTGTCGGTAAGCTCCCCCTTTCATGCTTAACAGGATAGGAAAGCTGTTGCTGAGTCCAAACGAATGTTCGACTTTGGTATTCAAACGGAAGTTCATCCGGTAGAGAGTTATATCGATTCCAGCTATCATTGGAACGAGTGGGAACTCCGCCGCAGGGCCCTCCAGATGGTGAGTTATTTGAACTTATGGCAGAATTAGTACTATGCTGTACGCAATGCCCCTATTAACGCTGCAGAGGGATGGTCGACTGTCTTGTTCGGTGTATCTCGAGGTATATAAAAAGAAGTCTTTCTTGTTAAAGTAAAGGACACAAGGCGAGCAGGGCAGGACATTTTTAGTGAGCCCCTAAAATATTACGTGAGATGTATAACTATGAATTCTATAGCTTATTTTCAAATTGGATATGAAAAGCATACAGTAGTGTTTGCTGCCACAGGTTATATTGCAGCAGGACGGACACCAAGCCACGCAAACAGCGAAGTCTAGATTCCTCGTTTGGTTGCCCCACGGTGCAAATACCGAAAGGTAGACAATTGAAAAAAGGGGTCAGATGTGGTTATTTAACCCCACCTGAAGCAAGCAAACCCCCTGTAATACGGGACCAATGGTAATAGGGGTTTTTACCGGCGGAGAGCACAGGCGACGAGGTCGAGCAGTTGCATGCAAAATAAAAGTTATTGGGAATGCTCAGTTGTTCTTTGAGTGGTTGAGAAATAGTTGACTTAACCCCTAACCTTTACCTCAAACCCTTAACTCTAATCCCTAATCCTAACCCCTTATCATACCCCCTGACCATAACTCCTAACTTTAACTCTAATCCCAACATCAGTTGGGGCTACATAACCACATCTTACCAATAGGTGTTTGGCCTCAGATTTAGGTGACCGTCTTTCCTTATATGCAATCAAACTCTTACGAAAAGTTGTAAACTAACGAAGAATAAAAAAGACTGTGTGAACTGGTATTGGAGGATTTACTTTCCCAGGCGAGTTCAACAATCAAACACAGTCCCGGCTACGTTTTCTTGTAGCTTATTTCCTAGATATGGAAATGGTTATCTGGTTTAGTGAATAATGATAGAGACTGACTTACAATCTGAGAGAGATCCTCTTCCGTAAGCTGTTACAACAGTCGACAAAACAACACCAAATTGCCTCCTTTAGTCTTAAAGTAGGTAAATATTTTCACAACATATTTGGCAATTTTTGAAGTGACCGCTCTCCTACTGTATACGCCACTTTTTAGGTATATATACTCCCCAGGAACTTAGTAATACAATAAACTGGTAGAACGGAAGGATTTCAGTTCGCATTTCACCATATCTTCTCATCCTATCCGGGACGTTTGACGCAAAATAAATTCTTATCCTGCTGACCAAAAAAGGTTCTTTCATGATAATGAGAAAATCGCACTAAAACAAATTGAATCGCATCTTATATGCGCACCAGTTCTATAAAAAGTGCCCGACAAAATAAAGAAGAGGTCTGTTTTATTTAAAAATGAAAGACTTCGTGCAAATTATGTAAGATGTGCAAATGGTCGATCTTAAGACTTGGCTAAGTACAGTTTTCGGTAGGTAAGAACTAACGTCTTCAACGTAGGCAGAACATAAGCATATAGCCAGAAATAACTTCAGTAAAGCACGATTTGTGAGCCAGTTTTCCCATTTTTTATCAGTTACATTGTTTGTCGTAAGTAAATTTATATCTACAAACTGTCGTGGTATACAGTAAGCGCAGTTTGCGGTATTTGACGACGATCAATTGCTTTTTGTAGCTGCCGCGTCGTTCTTCCCGGCCCCATGCTATTTACTACAATGTTTAAACTGTAAATCAATTTATAACATGCAAGAAAACTACTCAGAACCACTCCCGGGAAGTGCAAATAAAACAAACTTACTAACGTCTTGAGGACCATTTATTTTTCCCAGGAAGACTGGGGTAATATCTTACTCGCTCAGACAAAGACTGCACGAGAATTAATTGCTGCTAATTACAATTGCATACAATCTCACATTGATACAAACCCAACTTTTTAGCCCCACTTCCGCCTGTGATCAACGCAAACTTTGATACCATTGACCTTAAATATGTTCTTACTTTCTCCTAGGCAAATATCCGAAGACGTCTTACGCACAGCGTACAGACACAGTTGAGCAACTGGAGACGCGACAGCGCAACACAAGTCTACCTACCGAAGCAAGTCTTCTTAAAAACTAATGGTTGAAGCCATTTATTATGGTATCGATGAATTTATTTGGCGCGCTAAATAATTGTGGTAGTGAGCAAACTCTACTCATCGTTAAGACAACCTGTAGACCTACCGCAGTCACCTGTGAACAGAATTCACGGGGGCTCTAACACTTAGGTCACCGCAAAAACTTGTTTCTCCGAAGGCAGTGGCGTTATATACCGACACCAGAGAGCGATTTCGATCCTTTAGGAGATTTTTTAAAGCCGATTGTTACTCGCTGAGTACAATGTGTGGTTTAACTTTTTTTTATATTTTTTGAATGAACGTCCGAAGACTCGTATGCAAAATCATGTCAGTACGAAGTGAACTGAGGAGCGTGCATTTCGCCTACGGATGGCAAGTTCAATGGGCGACAAAACTAGTTTGTCTCGTTTGTCAGTTACACCTCTGTTTGCACCCTGTCAACACGTGGTCCTGCTAGAAGGTGGGGCTGGGCAATGATGGAAGAAACCATAAACCCGTCGATTAAGTCAAAACCTTTCAGTTTCAAGTTGGATGATCCGCCGCGCCGTCTGTCGACCTGACAGGCGAGTTTAGTGCTTGTTTGCTACGCCCATGGGCACGCTGGACGAAGGACTATTCGGGAGACATTTACTTACTGTTGTTGTCGAAGGATGTTGTGTGGTCGACAAGATAAAGATTCCCAATCAAAAGTCAGGGAAGACGGTTTGAGTTGGACAACCTTTACTGCCTGAGGAAATGCGTACACAAGGGCTCTGTAGGCAGTCGCCGCGAGCGCGCTCCAAGCAAGCTGTTGTCTGTGTCCGCCTTCGGGGTGTTGTGTTCGCGGGTGTGTGTGCGCCCTCCGTTGTCCCCGCGTCCGCCAGCCAATCAGAGGGGGGACAGCGTTGACTGGCCTGGGGCACTCGCGCGTCCCAGCAGCTTATCGACAAAGAGCGTGAGGCGGACAGGAAGGCAGCGTGACAAAGGCGGAGGGCAAGGAGACGCGAACTGCCTCGTTGTCTTCTCTGCGTTGTCCGGCTGCCTGCCGACCGTTGCGCAGGTGCGTCCTATAAGGAGCAAAATACATCGTCGTGCACATTGAAGTACAATGGCGGGCCCGGTAATCAAGGGAAAAAGCACTTTACAACGAAATGATCGATATCGTTGAGGCGAGGAGGGAAAAGAAACGATGGGATAACAACGACCTCGCACGCAACCATTTCTCGAGGGGGCGGGGGAGGGCCGGCGGGTTGAGCGTCCCGTCCAGCTCATATGCGCCAGGCGGCAGCGGAGGTAGGCTATGACTTTCTGAATATCATTACTGATAGAGACAAGGGAGACTATAATGGCCATTTCTGGCTTGTTGGCCGCCATCAGCCAGCCGTACTCAACCCCGAGGCTCGAATTCCCAACCTATTGGCTAGAAGTCAAACGCCCTAACCATTGAGCCACGGACTCGCTGTCCAGGCGCTTGCGACAGCCCCAAGACACAACGGGGCAATTGGGTTCCTTAACGTGATCGGTGCGCCCCGTCTACCATGATGAACGCCTTCATACGACCCTGACCATATGGCACAGTGGTCTATAATTCACCATTAATAATTTACAAAAAAGAACACCAGGAAATAGCAACTGATGCCAATTCGGTCCCTTCTTCTGGAACTGTAGGTCTAAAAATACGGTGTTGAATATCGTGTGAAAGCTCTGCAACGTGCTCGTTCGGGTAACAGAAGACTTATTGTCCACATGAACTGTGACATATGTTTCTGGGAATAAGATCTTGAGTTTGAACTATTTGGCTCCGTTCGGTAGAAAGTAAGCTCTCGAAATTCGCAGCTCTTACCTCCGACCTTTTCATGAGGCAATTGTTTCAGTTTCTAAATCATGTGCTCAGCACGGATTAAATAGTCAAGGAACGCCGAGAGTTCGTAAGTAGTAATGAGCCCTTGGACTCATCATTTGGGGATGAATAATCGGGGGCTCAGTAAGCGTCCCTATTACCTTCATATCTCAAAATGCGTGGCTTTTTACAGTGGGAGCCACAGACGCTCTCATATGGTTTAACAATACTGCCCACAACCAGATATGACAGCTAAAAATTGTTGTAACTGCCTTCTGCGTCTAAACTGCTCAAGAACTCTTTCTTTAGGGTAAGGTGATTCCATACTAACAACACAGGTAATAGCCAAAAGCTCATACGCGCGTGTTTCGCCGATATTCTGCCGCTGCATGACACAGCTGCGAAGGGTTCGGCCGGTCAGTGGGTTCCCCAGCATTCCCTATTTGCTTTCTGGCAGATATTCCAACGTCGAAACTGTTACTTTTTAATTTTCTTAGAAATTAACTGCGAGCTTGGATTAGATCCGTATGTTTAAGGTCTACAGGCTCAGACCGAAGATTTATGTATGAATATTTGGGCAGAATTCGATCAACCACAGCGGATAACCGCGCAATATTCATTAGCAACCGACAGGCAGCTAGTGGTGTCAGGTTGTCCACCGTTTTGTAGCGTCTCCAATTCAGTTAGTCAGTTTTCCTTTTCACACTCCCCTTCATATCTCTATCCATTTAATTCAAGAATAATTGCCTCGCTAAGATCTGTGTCGATTTTTCCGGTATCACCTGCTAATATACTCAGCTGTCCTTATGTTGCATCTATCATATGTCAGGAAATGGAAAAAGTCCCGGAGAATCGAATGGTCAGCTAAACAATTGGGAGCTTCATCAGCGCATGAGGAATAGCGATAAAAGACTTGTATCTACCGTATCATCCAAACGTTAGCCTTGATGTTTTCCGGCAGAACCCTGAATAGCTGATTGGCAGATAAGAGTGTAATTTTTCTTTTCATCGGTCCTGAGTGTAACATTTACGCTCAAACAGTGGACGCACCCACCTAACGCGCCTATTACCACTTTCCTCGGGTTACCGAATACCGTTATATACGTCAAAACTTTCGTTACTATTGAATAGTCGGGTATTCATCTAATCAATTCGATATTGGTAACTCAGAAAACCCTGCTCGAGCGGTCACCTTACTATATCCGAATTGGTGGAGGGTAACTTGACCCAAGGGTAATAAAACTCACCACTCCCGGTGCCTGGAGCGTTGGTTGTACCCAAGCCTTGTCCTAGTTGCGTAAAGTCTAGTCTCACCGAGGCTGCGGAGTTTTTTTACAATTGCGTCAAATGAAACACCAAAGAGTCGAAAAAAATAGGTTTATTTCTTTCCAAATGCGAACAGTCCGTTTTTTCATGCCCCAAACTTCTAAAGTCGTGTGTTTTAGGACCCAATTCACCCAGACGAAACGAGACTACTACAGTCAAGTACCCACGCCCTCCGTCTTTCTGCATGGTCTCCGTGGCTGTGGTGGGCTTCCGAAGGCCGGTGAGGTGAATGAAAGCGTACAAGCCGAACCCTATTCCAGTTGGTGCAACGTCTACCGACTGACTGACCACGTAAAGGTTGACCTTACCATACCCGTGGAGGATCAGCTATTAGGATCTATCAACGGACCGGACAGACCGATGCACTGAACTGCCGTCGGATGTGAAATTTAATCATTGTTAAATACCGGCATTAACAAGCAAATGTCTTGCTGTTTTAAAATAAAGCTGTTCTTGGCAGTACGACGCTCGTGGGCAATCACAGCCACAAGTCGCCTGTCCTCTCTAAACGGTTGTTTAATTTACACATCGGCCTCCTTCAGGAGCACTGGGAAAACTTGCCGTCTGCATAGGAATCATCAGTTGCTCAAAAAATTCTAAAAGAACAACCTACCGAGGCGTCCGCCTTTACTAAGCTTATGTTAAGACTTGTTTGCATCCCCCGGGAAAGCGCTCAAAAGTGGGACTCCATCTGAGTTAGAAACTTCGCGTGTTAACTATTAAGGAGAAGATAACTAGTTTGTCGCGGCGTAAAGCCTGCGTCAAAGCATGCCATTGCATCCCACCCATGTGCGACAGTAGTTAGGACTCGTGCAGACCCTGAACAGTCCTACCAACGCTTTCCAGGAAAGGGCCTGCCCCCCGTTTTGTTCCATCGCATCTCTAGCGCAGCCCATTGTGGGGGCCCAGCCACTGCACCCAATCACACCATTGGATGTCTAGAAGGCTCATAAAGTGGACTATTGCATGGGAGAACGAAGAGAGGATGAGGTAGATTCTGGGGAATCCACCCATACGGCATTTCCACGCATTCCTCACGAAGATAGGTCTGATGCGCTCAAATCCGTCACGACACATTCAGAATTGTGTTTAGGGAGGCTTCCAGCTGACAGGGTAAATCAGCCCTTCTCAGGACTGAGCGCTAGGCTCAACGACTCTTCCCACCGGATGAGATTCGAGCCACTCCTTTTCATGAGAACCGACTACATTGTGCAGGAACTGGGTAACATAAAGCACGTGTAGATGGGCTATTTAGCTTTGTCAGCCACTGGGCTCAGACCCGCATCCAGTCGTCATGACTCTGTGTTGTCATTGGGCCCAGGTGGGCGGGAAAGAGGAAAAGAGGTAGATACAGCGCAAGTCCGCTTATAACAAACTAATTTACGCGCAAATCACCGTTCCGAACCCACCACACCTTGGGTCACACGAGAAGCACCGTCATTCGCAACGATCAAACTGTCGGAGAACTGGCTAATGAATACGAATCTGACGACCTACATGCGGAGATCCAGTCGTAGGACATGAACACAGAAGATAGGGACGTTGTGAAAATTTCCAGAAAAAATTTATTTCGTTATTTTTTGAGATAAATGGGCGCTCTGTAAAATTCTGAAATACTGAACCAATTTCGTAATAGTGGGCAAATTACGTGTATTGGCTGAAGCCCTTGAGTCAAATTCTGGCCGAAGAGTGTTCAGGGTTTACTGATTAAAATGTCGTCTGCGCCGACCTAACTCCTCCTCATGGTTTTCCAGAAATAGTTTCATTGATGACTACATAAGTTCCCTGGAATTTATAACTATGTGGTCGCTACTTATTTTGATTTAAGCGAAAAGATGAGTGTCAGGAAGCAGTTCAGACGAAG